TTGAGCGGGGGTTTCGAAAAGGTTTTCTCACAAGGAGAGTATCCCAGATGGACCTCGCCGGGCTTGTTGGGTCTGACATTTTTTGTAGTATATTGAAAAATAGGAGACAAGTATTGTTTTTTAGACCAGCTGATTCGCAAATTTAAGGGGGGGTACCACCCCCAGGGTTGAGCCCCAAAAGTAATTTTGTTCACGGTTTCTTTTAGGTGGAATGACAAGCAACCCAAGAGATGTGAAAGTTTAAAATGGCATATCTTTGTATTAAATGTACCGATCGGTGTCGTTCATAGACCAAGAAAGGCAAGAAAAAAAATAGTCCAATCTCGATGAACTGGTTAAAGTTCACATTATTTATTCAAGAGGTTCAGAAGACGTCATTCTCTGTTCAGTTTTTATGCGCTAGGATGAACATCGAAAATAATGACTAGGTCAGTGTTTCGCGCCTATAGAAAGTGTCAAAGAATTGATTTTGGGACATTTGTTGTGGTATATTGAAAAATAGGAGACACGTATTGTTTTTTAGACCAGCTCATTCGCGAATTTAAGGGGGGAATACCACCCCCAGAGTTGACCCCCAAATCATTTTTTCACGGTTTCTTTTAGGTAGAATGACAAGCAACACAAGCGATGTGAAAGTTTAAAATGGCATATCTCTGTATTAAATGTTTTTTTCAATATTCTTTAACTTAGGTCGGAACCAACAAAGTCGACGAGGTACGCATGAGATACTTTTCTTGTAAGTACGACTCAACATTGCATTTTCTTCCTGTAGCATAAATGTCGCTCGAACACTTGTGGATTTTAGAAAAATTAGCCACCTTTGTATCCCTCCTCTATTATTAAATCTGTCCTGCAATGTCGTTAAATTCTAGGAAATTAAACCTTTCTATCCTGTTGCGACAACATTTTGTACATTTCTGACCGGCTGATCTATTTCTCTTCTGAGAACTCCACAAAGGTATTTTGTGGTACACTTGTATTATTATAAATTATCGTTACGAAAGACTCGTTCGTTTATGTGATCAAGTGAAATTCGGTTCTGAAGGGAAGGGGGAATTTTAGGAGATAATAATTTGTTCTATCGTACAGCAACGGAATATTGTTTTGTTGTGTTTCGAGATCGAGAGCAATACTCGTGACTACTGTTTGATTTTCATCAGTCTTAGAATAGACTGCTTCCTCTTCGATTCCAATTGGCAGTATTTAAGGGAAGACGTGAACTACATTAACTACATTTGACATTGATTGCAGAGAATAATAACATTAATAAGAAATATATTTCCATGCCTTCTTAATAGGAGTATCGACCTTAGAGTAAATTTAATTCAGCTTTAGGGGTCCTCGTGAATTAATTTAACCAACTCTGGGAATTAACCGGGCATTATTATTAATTGTAACTTGCAAATATTAATGAAAACGATTAATAGCTTTCTTGTACCGAGTACACGTAGGACAAGAAATCCCGCATCAATGACAACGCGACACGTTTGCATATTCTCGTCACAGATTACACGTCAAAGTCTCGGATCGATAATCGGCGATGATCGATCTCCTTAGCTGCTTATATTAATATCATTTTATTCATTACGCCCCAAGAAGATTGGAAAGATATGGAGTGACTTAGTCCTTATTCCGATCTCCGATAATATGTTACAAATTACGATAAACAATGGTAAATATCGATTTGACGTTGGTAAGAATTTACAATTACGATTCGATTGAACTTCAAATATAGTTGATGTCGTCCACTCCTCTTGGAGATGCGCACCTCGTTTCCTGATCGATTTTGGAGCGGATTTCGAGATGCGCATCGAATTTGAGCATGGCGATTCCGATCGCCGATCGATTTAATCAGCCTTCCGATAGGAATAATCTTTTCACCTTGATAATTGAGCACCTTACGAGAGGAATTATCGGGAATCGGTCAGTCCTTCCCATTGTGCCTTTTTTGAGGAAATTCCCACTAAGAGGAAGATCTTTAATTGGCCCCGACCGAGATCATTTGTCAAACGACGTGTCTTCCTACCCAGATAGACAAAAAGTGTTGCAAAATTTCCATTAAATTTGTTTAATAAAAGATCATGAGCGAGTCGTGAGGATGTTGCCCGTGAGTCCTCATTTGGATCTCATATCTGCACTGCACAATGACGAACCAAAGATACTTAAATATGAAACAAAGTTAAGTACATGCAATGTCTCAATGTTTGTCCGAATATGCACCGTGTAATTAATCTCACCCATTGTCGATAAATAATTGTAGCTTTTGTAGCTCATACTTGAGACATTGCGTGAGAAATTTACCGGAAATTTTGTCTTCAAATTTATTGCGTAATATGCGTACACTGGGAGACATCAATGCCCTCCCATCCTGCACAGGCGATGTCGTACCTGGAGGGGAGGCATTCATGTCCACATTGTACACTGGGAGACATCAATGCCCTCCCATCCTGCACAGGCGATGCCGTATCTGCAGGGCAGGCATTCATATCCGCCATTGTACATATGTTGCAGACATTTCACGCAGCAAATGGTCTGCAAATTGTTTCCAAATTGATTTTCCTCATCATATGATGGTCATGAATTTCTATCTGGGTATTTGTTTGCAACTGATATTGTACATCCTGTGACGGAGGAAAGAATTCTATCTTTTCAATAAAGAAACGCAATTCTTGACATGTACGAAGACTAATTGTTTTACTTCAACTTTAATGAGGTATTCTTCCGGGCGCGATCGAAAGCGTAGAGAAATTATTGCTGAAAAGCATATTAAACATTAATGCTGTATCTAACTTTTGAATATTGACTCGTTATACTTCAATAAATACCATGGCATGATTAATGATAAATTAAGACAATTTTGTTATTCAGTGAAGGCGGTAAGTCTAGGAAGTGATGGCAAAAAGTGAATTTGGAATATAGCGAGTCGTACATCCGATAATTAACGTTGAATGTTAATTTATAAACAGTGATGAAACAAACGTATTATTCATTCGGGCAGTATGGTAATTGGCACCGAAACGATACACTTCATATGTTACTTCTTATAAACGCAATGAACAATTTCTTCACGGAACAAGCCTTACGGAATAACAATATTCGAGGCAGTTACAAGTATTTTTGTTAAAGCAGACATTATAAACGAATAACAAATTGATATATAATGGTGAAAGGAGGCTTAGAGTGAAGGCTTATGTTTTGGTGTATCGTTGTGTCATACATTAACTAATAGCAAAACAACTACATGTAACATTATTGTGCTATTGTGTAAGTTTTCAAACGATATGTTAAACCGGAATCTGGTTTAAGAGATGTTGATAATGGTGGCAGGATTGAAATCGTTGATTATTATTGCCACTCGTAATTATCACCAATATTTCGGGATAATATGTTTAGTTGTAAGAAATTTCAGAACTGTATGTCAATGATATAATGAAACCGTTGAGTTAACGCATTTATAAAAATTGAGTAATCCTTACTTACTTTACGGCATTTCAAACTTAAACTGATAATTCGAATATGTAAAATTCCATTAGACGTTTTTTATTATTCGACTATACGAATTGTTATACTGAACATTGATGTTTCATTCGTGATGCTTTGCTTGTATTACTTTTTTTTTCTTTTACAAACTCACGTCATATGAATTTGTGCAAAACGATCGTTGAGGATTATTGGCAATGTTTTAGGAAATCCCGTATTATACAAATGTAAAAATAGTACACATTGTTCCGTAATACTCAATAAATCATTACCGACATCCTTGTTTAAATCTTGATGTAAATGTAAATAGATACGCTTTTCTACAGATTCAAATGAAATAACTTTTTCGGTCTGTGGTAATAAATTAACGAGTTCGATGTCTGTAACAATAATTACGTGACTTGACACTTGTATTTAACGCATAAACACAATTTATAAGAGTCACATAGGTCCGCTTCTTCCAAGTTTTAGGGAAAAATATTGCTAACGATAAGTAGCAATACTCTTCGGACATATCTCCATTTTTAATTGCGAGTCATTTAAACATTTCATAAGTCATGCAATGGCCATTTCCTTTTTGTTGTACGTTATTCCGCAAATCGTGAAAGTGTCTCGATCATAACTATATAGAATTGCCATCATTATTTTTATAACTTTGTTTTTGTATCCTCTTTTTAATGATTCCACAAAATGGTCATCTTATTTCTGAGGTACATGGGGGAAGGGGGGGGGGATTATAATCTGATTACATAGCAATCTTTTAAAGGGTTACCCCGTCGTTACCCTTGTTTCAAAATCCCTCGTCCAACCACAATTATCCTTCCCACCCACACCTAGGGCAGATCCTTCATTAAAACGGATCATCTTCTACATCTTTAAGAATTGGCAAGTTTCATGACACGCAGAAAAACATTTGATTCCTTGAGCAAAATCGTTTGATTGACTGCGTTTGGTTAATTGCAGATGTTTCGGTTGAAAGAACCGAATCTCAGTTCACTGGCGCAAACCTATTTCCTTCAATCGACTAAAGTGCTTTGTTTAAATCGCTTAGTCAATTTTGTAAGACATATCAGTCAATGAACCAAATACTTTGGCTAAATGTACCAAAATACTTCAATATTTGGGGCGATCCCCCCAGGAAATTCGAAGCAATCAACCAAATGTTTGGTCATCCATATAATAACTATACGGTTGAAGCAAGAAAAAAAAATCGATGCAACCAGATATTTCTCTGCGCGTTCAAACAATGTCTCAGTCAAATTTGAGTCAGTTCCAGGAAAGTTTGAGGGTCCTTGCTGCGGATGCGTTCTCCAGTTGTGCCTGCCCATTGTTGATAACGACACTCCAATCAAATCGGAACGTCCACTATCAATTTAAGGTTCCTGGATAGATCCTAATAGATTCCACCTCCTAATTCATCACTTTTCGGGTAACGTTGATTTAGTTCGTCAAGAAAGTCCGTTCTTATCATCAGGGCACGAGGACAACCCGTTGTCTCATCGCGCAGCGTTCTCCTAAAGTCAGACCCTCAGTTCCTCCATGATCTGTTGATGATTGTGTCCCTTCTTCAGGGTCCCCGCCCCAGCCATGGCCATGCTCTCCTGCTGCAGCTGATTAGGACTAATAATCAGATTTTGTCCACCAGGTTTCCCGGGTTTCGTGTTTTTCGGTGGTGGAGGTGGTATCGGGACGTGGCAGGAGTTGTTCTGCAGATCTGCAAACTCCGGAGGTGGGATGTGTTGGATGTGATGACGCTCCGTCTTCGTCTCCAGCTCCCCGCAGATGTTGTTGGGCATTTGGCCATTCTCTTGGCGCTTCTTAGGGCAGTTGTGTTGATTCTTGTCGCGCTGATAATATACACCGGCGAAGAAGAGCACGTTCAAGATCAGCAGACTGCATCCTATCGCGATCGTTACGCTCAGGGCTGTTGAATATGCTGCAAATCCATCTTCCGGTTGGGCTGTCGACTCTTCGTAGGTGAGTTCACTGGGAGAGGCTGTGGATACGTTTTGGACCCTTTCCGTGGTCAGCTCGGATGTTGTAGGCCTCATCGTCGTGGGTATCCTCTGGATGAATCTGGGTGGAACCTGTATTGAAACAGACGTACAGGGGTTAAGCCAGGCAATGTTAATTACCGACGTTTCGTCCTAAGAAGGCGAGTCTCTATTAACGAGGGTCCCTTTATGGGTAAAAAATACTCTACCTTCTATTCCCAAATGTTGTACTACGTATAAAGTTTCCATACAAAAAAACACTTAAATCATATTACAATGCCAAGTTACTGCTTATTCATGTCCAGATTCATAGTTAAGTACGATTAATTGTCATATTCAACCCTCTGAGATATCTTGAAAACACTTGGACTACGTCTGTTCTACATTTCTAAGGGATGTTTTAGACAGGGCAATCATTACTTTGATGACTTTCCCTTCTATTAAAATCCGGCTTGATTAAAGCAACCGCTAAATCTGACCTGCTCAGCGTCTAAGAGGTGGTGCGACCTGGGGACGTCATCCGATCCCGGTTTGTGCAGATCAGGGACGAGATTCAGCCAGAAGGAAAGTTTGTGGGCTCTGTAGTGGTTCTTCAGCTTCGTCTTTGTATCTGAAACAGAAGTCGAGCCCGGGAATTCCGTTAAAGGTGGCCCAAGGTATTCCGACTGGCACTGAAAAGCGGGCAGATCCATTGAATCCCGGGATAAGACGAGGCCCTCCACCCGGAAATGCCTCTTCGAAGTTGCCTTTGTCAGAATCGAGGAATTAATTATGATCGCCCGGTAAGTTTCCATCGGCTTCGTTAAGGCTGGCCTGCCTTAAAGCGGCCGGTTTAGAAAATCTTCTCCAGGGTGAATGTCGCAACTCGCGAGCGATCTTCTCGTTCCGAGATCTTTCGAGCTTTCGAGGAGGACCCGGAAAGCTTCGCGTTTTTGACTCGCGACAACGGATTTACGTTTCTTCCTTCTTCTACGAGAGGAGGAAGTGAAAGACGTTAATAAAATGCCTCGGCTTCTCGAGTTTATCTCCTCGGGAGCGAACGCCACCCGGGGGTTGATATCTTGGGGAAAAGGGCTTAAGCGAATAAACTTGAATACAGGGGGAGATACGAAAGTCGGAACTTGGATTAAGGAGGTCAGCTTTTATTTATAATGAAATGATGCCTGTAAAAGGTGTGGAGGGACTGTAGGAACAATCATTTCCTGAAAGTAGTCCTAAAATGGCTCGTTTATCGCCTGCACTCTCCCGAGGAGGAAGGTAATGAACCCCTATGTCTTGTTAATCCTCCATTAACTTCACCCTAATATATTGAATATAATCACCGCCAAATTTGGGCCCGAAGAATAATTATACTCGTCATGAAATACATATATAAATAACGTCAAAATGAATCTCATTGCCAAGAAGCTTAACGTTAAAAACAAATGTATGACATTATTGTAGAACTCTTTAATCTTTCATGTACCAATAGAATATTCTATGAATTTTCATTTTCTCTGTAGAGCTAATATGACGTCTTCGGCTGGAAAATGTTATAGAATTATATGTAATTTATGTATTAAGTTGTATACGTTGAAGGATCTTAAAGGATTAACGAACGTTTATGTTCTTTCTTTTTAATATCAGAAATTTTAGAGGAGTTTTTAGACCTTGATGCATATAATAAGATTTTCCGACAAAATCATTCATGTATGTTCTGGATTTCATGAAAAGGGCCAATTAAGTTATTAATGAACTAAAGATGTTGTACACGTATACGTGATTTGGAAATTAATTTCTAAAAATCGGGAAGCAATGTTGCCGCACTGGTCAGGTATAACAATTGATGCCCGAAACAATACACCGTCTATAGATATACCATTATCAACAAGCATTGAAACCGTAGCTACATGTGCGCATGTGCCCTCTCATGTTTGTATGTACAGCATTTATCCACCAACAATCGCAATGTATGTCTACGTGAACTCGAAACATTGATGCACCAACCCATCACAATTTATTTTGCTTGGTGACTTTCCTGATGAGGAAGGTAATGCACCCCGATGTCTTGTCAACACTATTTCTACTATAACTTTGTGTATACCTATTTCGACCAAAAGGTTTCGATGAGCTGGAGGAAAATGATACCGTTAAATAAATTCAACAATTATTATACGAAAACTCAAAACATTAAGTGAGAAAACGTTATTAAACCTTGAAAATAATTCCAAGTTAAAATTTTCAAGGGGGTCTTTCGACACCTATGGTAGAAATAGTGTTAATCTTCCATGAACAGCTATGAGCCGGATAATGCCGTATTCTTTTGATAATTGGTTTATTATTAACTAAACGAGTATTGTGTATGGAGGGAATTATTTCCCATTAGCAGGGAGAATTTAATAGTTATGGTGATAGTTGAAGCTTAGGATGACAAGAATTCTTCGGTGCATTAAGCCACGGTCTACTAAGTGGAAAGTAGAAGTAGGACACGTTTCCTGAAACCGGAAGGAATGTGAGGATACACTTCAAAGAGAAGAATGATGAACCCGGAGAACAAATCGATTGGATTCGAAGGAATTCGTTGGTCGGTCCAGCGAGGCCTGGACCCTGGAATAAAGAGAGACAGTGAATTCCGAGTGTCCTGGTATATCCTTTATCAAGGTACGATTTTTCTTATGAGCTTCTTAATTGGATTTCAAGCCTGACAAAAGGTTCCGTTTAAGAGATACACTTTGGTTACGTATCGACGAGCCGGGATTTATTGAGTAAAAATAAAATTTACGCAAATTGTGTCAATATTAAAATAAAGATGAATATATTATATATCTTGTATATCCTTTATCGAGGGCGATTTTTCTTATGAGCTTCTTAATTGCATTTCAAGCCTGACAAAAGGTTCCATTTAAGAGATACACGTGTGTTACGTACCGACGAGCCGGGATTTATCGAGTAAAAATAAAATTTACGCAAACTGTGTCAATGTTAAAACAAAGATGAATGTAAATAGCAATTAACCGAAGGAAAGATGGCTTACACTTTCTGAAATCCACCTTTTTCGTAATACACGATCTCACACGTACGAAAGAGTCATAAGACGTTTAACTTTAGAATGAAAAAGACTTTTTCTAATTGCCAATATGGATCCTTTTAAGTTACATTTCATTTTACATGTTTCTCTCTCTCTCCCCACGTAAAGGATTCGATAGCATTCTGCATTTACTAGAGAAAATGTAGAACGTAAAATATCATTTCGTCCCTTTTACCGACATCTTCCGTCGCTTTCTTTTGAATTAGCATTACATTTACTTGAAGAGATAGGAAATCAAATTTACAAGTCGCTTTGAGCTGGAAAAACGGCTTACAAAGTATACAAGAAGCCCGGCATGTTGGCGGATACATACCAAGGTTTTTGTTCTTGCATCCTTTACACCTATCCTTTTAGTTGTGTATTAAGAAATAATTTAAGAATCCAATTACCTATGCTGAGGTATTTTTTGTGCACCGCTTCGTAGGCAGTCCAGTCGACGTTTTTCAGTTTCATTCTTTCGGGCCTCGAACTGGGTCCAGGATCCGGTGTTCCCTCGTTTGGATTTCTAACACCACAAAATGGAATTATTTCATGCTTCGACAAGCCCCATGCAACGTGTCCCTTGAATATTTCAATAAATACATGTGTAAAGTAAGCTTCTATAATTTCAAACCGATACGAGAAATCGCGAGAGAAAACTTGCATACGGTTAAACTGCGATTTCTTCTCCATTAATACTGAGTACATATATTATCGAAAGGTGAATAAAATATTTTTCGACGTTTCAATCGTCAAAGTTGAACCACCTTATTAAATTATATAAATTATATAAATAATAAATTATCGCTCAATATTTAAATTACTTACCCGGTTCGAGCGAAGTTTGTGAGGTACAGGATGACACTTTCCGAGAGGCCTGTCTCCACTCTGGTGTAATTTCTCGACCAATGAGCAAGTCCACCAACTATTGGAGCTCCGAAAAAGTATGGCAATTCTTCTCCATGAATGCATCCTTGCCTCTGAAAATATCATTATATTACAATTTCTACTAAATTTTATCATAAATATATATTATTCATTTAATCGGGATACATTTCAATACGTTGCGGCGAGTTCACGAGGGCCTTGAGACTTTTAAACTGGAATAAGTCATAATAATTTTCATCGCAATATTTTCCTTCCTGCCAAGGGGATTAGTAATGTTTAACCCTTTTAGTGTCGGGCGAAAAAGAAGTGCTTATGCGAAGATAACCGGCTGAATTTTACGATTTTACTAGGATTTGGAAAAAGGCTCATAAAAACAAAACGAAAAGCAATATTTACATAATTAAACAAGCAGGGTATTAAGGACAAAATAGAGAATAAAACGGTGACGCTAAATTTTCTATATTCATTGAAAATTACATAATTAACAAAGGTATAAGTGATAAAAAAAAAAAGAAAAATTGAGTTCTCTGTTTCAAAACGTAATTGCACACAGGAAAAGTCATCTTAATATCATAAATTTATATAGACCGTTTATTGCAAAGTATATACTTTGAATTTCCAATATATTTTTTAACAAAATAAGTGATATTGCACAAGAAACATAAAAAATAACTCCAAGGCACATGGTAGGCGCCGGACGGATTATCTCATCCGAAACAAGTAATTGTTATAGGTTATAGGTTGTTATAGGTAGGTTATAGGTTGTTATAGGTGTTGTTGTATCGTTATTTTAATTCTCTCGTAATGAAATTAGACTATTTATAACGTATTATAAATTTATTTTGAGATACAGATCTCTCGCAAAGCGAATAGTAAAGCGCTACAAGGTGCGAGCCGATATATCGGCCTCCGGCACTAAAAGGGTTAATAAACCATATATACATTATTATTTTTCTTAAGAACCATTATTTCATATGACATTGGTGCCGCCAAGTGGCAGGGAAAATATTGGAGCGAAGTCTTCTATCGGTCCTTTCTTCTATCCATCGGTCCTTTTGAAGTGTGGAACAGATGACGAATGTATCCAAAAAGAAGTGCTAAAGGTTCACTTCCGTTTTCTCTCAATCTGGGATAGATTGAGTTCCCGATCGCTTTTCTCGGACCTCTGGGTAGAAGTGAAGGAGATTTCCATTGGAGCTGAAACTTATTGCTCTTTTTCGCCCCGGTCCGGTTCCTCGACAATTCGCTCGCTTTATTTTATTGTTTTCCACGTATAGAAGGGTTGGGGGCCAAAGCGAATGCATGCTTTAAATCGGCTAGCGCCTTTGCGTTGCATTCAAAATGCCTTTTGTTTCGTTCCTTCTGCCAGGACATTTCCCTATTTCTTCCAGAGTGACGTTTATCCAAACGGAAAACATCGATCGAGGATTAACGATACGCGAGGCTATTGAAACGTAAGGACGAGATCTAGAGGACCAGGGGAAACTGTTATAAATTTCAGAAACCCTTTACTTGGAGATACCTAAATCAATGTTTATGGTTAAAAGGAATTTAATTCAGATTTAGGAACATTTCTATAAATACCAGTTAACCAGCAACGACTAAAGCTTGACTTTCCTTTAAATTTATTGAATCGTCTGCTTCCATCGACAGAGATTTATTTATTGTAGTTCAATGCATTATGTATTCCATTTTGGTAAGGGTCTGTATATTACAAATCAAGAATCTAGGGTGACAAAGTCCTATCAAGGAAAATATCATTTTTGATATATACTTTCTGCTGACTGTTTCATGAAAAAGGTCCACACGCGGAGACGGAATGTTGCACGTGGGATAATTAATAACGATTTATATTTTCTTGGCGAGCTTCAATCGACAAAAGCAATGCAATTGATTGGACGACACAAAAGGGTTCGTAATTACGAATTGTAATCAAGAATCTAGGGTGACAAAGTCCTATCAAGGAAAATATCATTTTTGATATATACTTTCTGCTGACCGTTTCATGAAAAAGGTCCACACGCGGAGACGGAATGTTGCACGTAGGATAATTAATAACGATTTATACTTTCTTGGCGAGCTTCAATCGACGAAAGCAATGCTATTGATTGGACGACACAAAAGGGTTCGTAATTACGAATCGTAATCAAGAATCTAGGGTGACAAAGTCCTATCAAGGAAAATATAATTTTTGATAGAGACTTTCTGCTAACCATTTCATGAAAAAGGTCCACACGCGGGGACGGAATGTTGCACGTGGGATAATTAATAACGATTTATATTTTCTTGGCGAGCTTGAATCGATGAAAGCAATGCTATTGATTGGACGACACAAAAGGGTTCGTAATTACGAATCGTAATCAAGAATCTAGGGTGACAAAGTTCTATCAAGGAAAATATAATTGTTCATGTAGACTTTCTGCTGACCGTTTCATGAAAAAGGTCCACACGCGGAGACGGAATGTTGCACGTAGGATAATTAATAACGATTTATATTGGCTTGGCGAGCTTCAATCGACGAAAGCAATGTTATTGATTGGACGACACAAAAGGGTTCGTAATTACGAATCGTTCAGCTACGGTCGGGGAAATGTAGTTAATGGTTCTAGGGTACAAAGAATTCAATAAAACGTTCTCCGTTCTGTTGCCCCCGATGTTCACTTTCAGGACGGTTTTTAGATTTATGTCGTTACTTTTCGGGAAAGTCGCTCCGCCAGGAACGGGAACGTTAGAAATGACCGATTGAATGAGAAAGAATGTCTCTAGACTTGTCGTCGGTGAAACTGAAAGAGTTTAAAGCGAGGCTACGATCGATGGGTCGTCGAAGCTGAAATACCGACAAGCGGAGCGAGACGGAGCAATTCATTCGAATCATTCCATTATTTCGGTCGAATGATCCGTGTCTTCTAAGTCTGACATCTACGATGTGACAAGGAAGTCGGATGTGCCGTCGGTTAATTGAGAGCCTTGGAGGAATTTCCCATTAAGGTGAAGTGAAACCCCCTTCAAATCAGACGATTCGAATACACCTTTTTTTTAAGGGTATTGGACTAAACTGTCCGAAACTTTGACACATGACTCGTGATCATCTAAGAATTGTCCTAACACGTTAAAAATTTGGATTTTTTTTTTATTTTTAACTTTACCGGGGAACTTAATTTTGAGTGAAATTAGGAAGGCGTAAAAACGTTAACTATACTAATGACTGCACGAAGCTTTACATTAAGGTGAAGTGAAACCCCCTTCAAATCAGTCGATTCGAATACACCTTTTTTTTTAAGGGTATTGGACCAAACTGCCCGAAAACTTTAACACTCGTGATCATCTATTAATTGTTCTGATATATTCAAAATTAGGATTTTTGGAGAAAATTTTTTAATTCAGCCCAGACCAGAACCAAAATGGCGTCGAGCTCTCATATTTCGATCCATATGCAATTATCGAAGGCTCTGATATGAGAAACGAAAGGGTCAGGACAATTTGACGACAATTTAGAATACTCTGGTAATCGATAAACTCGCATTTGAACGGGATAAAGGCAAAAAAAGTGTTTTATGCGCTCCTATGCTAAAATGATGGGAATACGAGGTCTCGGAGGGAAAATTTAATTGACCTGGAAATCACAGATGGCGCAGGGGGTCCCTCTGCAGTCAATTAGGGCCTCTGAATCCATAAATCCGGGGGATTCTGGAGTTTTTCTGCGATTTATTTATAATTATTGTACGAAAACGAGAGGTGGAGTATGCCATTTAGTATAATACCCAATATAACTCGACACAGCTGTCAATATAAAAACGAAGGTCGGCAGCGTAGGTATTTAAAAAAATCTTCTTTATCGATGTCGATCAAGTTTTTCGACGTGTTTCACTTCACCTTAATATATTTAATATAGTCACCGCCAACTTTGGGCCCGAAGAATAATTATACTCGTCATGAAATACCTATATAAATAACGTCAAAATGAATCTCATTGCCAAAAAGCTTAATGTTAAAAACAAATGTATGAAATTATTGTAGAACGCTTTAATCTTTCTTGTACCAATAGAATATTCTATGAATTTTCATTTTCACTGTAGCACTAATATGACATCTTCGGTTGGAATATGTTATAGAATTATATGTAATTTATGTATTGAGTTGAATATGTTGAAGGATCTTAAAGGATTAACGAACGTTTATGTTCTTTCTTTTTAATATCAGAAATTTTAGAGGAGTTTTTAGACCTTGATGCATATAATAGATTTTCCGTCCAAATCATTCATGTATATTCTGGATTTCATGAAAAGGGCCAATTAAGTTATTAATGAGCTAAAGATGTTGTACACGTATACGTGATTTGGAAATTAATTTCTAAAAATCGGGAAGCAATGTTGCCGCACTGGTGAGGTATAACAATTGATGCCTGAAACAATACACCGTCTATAGATATACCATTATCAACAAGCATTGAAACCGTAGCTACATGTGCGTATGTGCCCTCTCATGTTTGTATGTACAACATTTATCCACCAACAATCGCAATGTATGTCTACGTGAACTCGAAACATTGATGCACCAACCCATCACCGTTTATTTTGCTTGGTGACTTCAATGACCATAATTCTCCCTAGGGATCGCAATCAACGTACCCCTATACGAGAGCACTGTAGAAAAAAAAATGCAAGGTGCAAAATATTCCGATTTAATTTTAAGGTGATCTGAAAGTGGCATCAAAGAGGTCTCGTTTATGAAACTTCCCCGAACTGGGTGTACCGAATCGTTTTCAACTTTACAATGTGAGTACGGAGGCTACGAAGGAGGTCCTAATACCCATGAAATTAAACTTTTTTTCAAATTTGTTTACAGACATTTTTAAATTTGCTATAAAAATGAAATTTCATGGCCGTTGTATAGCCTCTATGTTCATAAAAAAAAGTTTCTAACGATTCGGTACACCAAGTTGTGAGAAAAATTTCATGAACGACTGGCCTTTCAAGTGTTACTATTACATGCTCTTAAACAACACCAATGCGCTTTCGTACATGACCATCATTGTATGTTAATGAGGTTTCTACGTAAGAATACATTTTTTTTACAATATCTTCCCGAAAGT